TCTTTCATCACCTAATCTTTTTGTTATCCTCATAACCTTACTCTTTCCTGTATTCACCTTTAATTTTCTTCTTTTGCACCCCCTACCAAATTCACCCAAACCAATCTCTGCAATTTCTCTTTCAGAATCTCCCAAGAGCACAGTGTCATCAGCAAAGAGCAGCTGTGACAACTCCACTTTGTGTGTTTTTATATATATTATATATATATTATACTATATATATATTTATTATATATATATATATATAATAAAATTATATATTATACGTGTGAGTGTGGGTATATTTTGTGTGCATTACCATTATCGAGAAAAATAAAATATTCGAAAAATAAATGTAAATTTGGAAACCCTGTAAAATTTTGGAAAGTTTGATCGTAGGGGAGTGGGGAGGTGTTCCCATAGAGGTATCCATAGCGAGGAGTGAAAATGTATCTCTGATCCCCATAGAGGGACCTTCAAAAATTATGAAATTCGAAAACAAAAAATTGAGGGGTGGGGGTGATCCGGGAAACACAGCAGATGGTGCTGCATAAGGTTCTGCAGGGGAGGCGCCGGTCCTCGAGGGCGCGGGAGGGCGCGGGCTCGGGCGTTGGGTGGGACGTGGGCATGGGCAGGTGCGGGTGCGAGTGGGCGCAGGCACGGGACCTGAAGTGGGGGGTGGGACGGGGGACCGCCGCCTTTTCGGACTGTACAGATGAAAAATCTACTACTAGTATGGGAATAGGTATTATGGAAGTGAGTATGGGCATGGGTATTATGGAAGTGAGTATGGGCATGGGTATTATGGAAGTGAGTATGGGCATGGGTATTATGGAAGTGAGTATGGGCATGGGTATTATGGAAGTGAGTATGGGCATGGGAATTATGGAAGTGAGTGTGGGCATGGGTACTATGGAAGTAAGTATGGGCATGGGTATTATGGAAGTAAGTATGGGCATGGGTATTATGGAAGAAAGTATGGGCATGGGAATTATGGAAGTGAGTGTGGGCATGGGTATTATGGAAGTAAGCATGGGCATGGGTATTATGGAAGTGAGTGTGGGCATGGATACTATGGAAGTAAGTATGGGCATGGGTATTATGGAAGTAAGTATGGGCATGGGTTTTTATGGAAGTGAGTATGGGCATGGGTATTATGGAAGTGAGTATGGGCATGGGTATTATGGAAGGAGTGTAGGCATGGGTATTATGGAAGTGAGTTTGGGCATGGGTATTATGGAAGTGAGTATGGGCATGGGTATTATGGAAGTGAGTGTAGGCATGGGTATTATGAAAGCTAGTGTGGGCATGGGTATTATGGAAGTGAGCGTGGGCATGGGTATTATGGAAGTGGTGTGGGCATGGGTATTATGGAAGTGGGGTTGTGGGCATGGGGTATTGTGGAAGTGAAGTGTGGGCATGGGTATTATGGAAGTGAGTGTGGGGGATGGGAATTATGGAAGTGAGTGTGGGCATGGGTATTATGGAAAGTGAGTGTGCGCATGGGTATTATGGAAGTGAGTGTGGGCATGGGTATTATGGAAGTGAGTGTGGGCATGGGTATTATGGAAGTGAGTGTGGGCATGGGTATTATGGAAGTGAGTGTGGGCATGGGTATTATGGAAGTGAGTATGGGCATGGGTATTATGGAAGTGAGTATGTTCATGGGTATTTTGGAAGTGAGTATGGGCATGGGTATTATGGAAGTGAGTATGGGCATGGGTATTATGGAAGTGAGTATGGGCATGGGTATTATGGGAAATGAGTATGGGCATGGGTATTATGGAAGGGGGAGTATGGGCCCTGGGAATTAGGAAGTGAGTGTGGGCATGGGTACTATGGAAGTAAGTATGGGCATGGGTATTATGGAAGTAAGTATGGGCATGGGTATTATGGAAGAAAGTATGGGCATGGGAATTATGGAAGTGAGTGTGGGCATGGGTATTATGGAAGTAAGCATGGGCATGGGTATTATTTTGGGAAATGAGTGTGGGCAAAGGATACTATGGAAAATAAGTATGGGCATGGGTATTATGGAAGTAAGTATGGGCATGGGTATTATGGAAGTGAGTATGGGCATGGGTATTATGGAAGTGAGTCTGGGCATGGGTATTATGGAAGTAAGTATGGGCATGGGTTTTATGGAAGTAAGTATGGGCATGGGTATTATGGAAGTAAGTATGGGCATGGGTATTATGGAAGTGAGTGTGGGCATGGGTATTATGGAAGTAAGTATGGGCATGAGTATTATGGAAGTAAGTATGGGCATGGGTATTATGGAAGTGAGTATGGGCATGGGTATTATGGAAGTGAGTATGTTCATGGGTATTTTGGAAGTGAGTATGGGCATGGGTATTATGGAAGTGAGTGTAGGCATGGGTATTATGGAAGTGAGTGTGGGCATGGGTATTATGGAAGTGAGTATGGGCATGGGTATTATGGAAGTGAGTGTAGGCATGGGTATTATGGAAGCTAGTGTGGGCATGGGTATTATGGAAGTGAGCGTGGGCATGGGTATTATGGAAGTGAGTGTGGGCATGGGTATTATGGAAGTGAGTGTGGGCATGGGTATTGTGGAAGTGAGTGTGGGCATGGGTATTATGGAAGTGAGTGTGGGCATGGGCATTATGGAAGTGAGTGTGGGCATGGGTATTATGGAAGTGAGTGTGGGCATGGGTATTATGGAAGTGAGTGTGGGCATGGGTATTATGGAAGTGAGTGTGGGCATGGGTATTATGGAAAATGAGTGTGGGCATGGGTATTATGGAAGTGGGGTGTGGGCCCTGGGTATTATGGAAAATGAGTATGGGCATGGGTATTATGGAAGTGAGTATGTTCATGGGTATTTTTGGGAAATGAGTATGGGCATGGGTATTATGGAAGTGAGGGGTAGGCATGGGTATTATGGAAGTGAGTGTGGGCATGGGTATTATGGAAGTGAGTATGGGCATGGGTATTATGGAAGTGAGTGTAGGCATGGGTATTATGGAAGCGAGTGTGGGCATGGGTATTATGGAGTTAGCGTGGGGATAGGTATTATGGAAGTGGTGTGGGCATGGGTATTATGGAAGTGAGTGTGGGCATGGGTTTTTATGGAAGTGAGTGTGTGGGGATGGGTATTATGGAAGTGGTGTGGGCATGGGTATTATGGAAGTGAGTGTGGGCATGGGTATTATGGAAGTGAGTGTGGGCATGGGTATTATGGAAGTGAGTGTGGGCATGGGTATTATGGAAGTGAGTGTGGGCATGGGTATTATGGGGAAATGAGTGTGGGGCATGGGTATTATGGAAGTGGTGTGGGCATGGGGGATTATGGAAGTGAGTGTGGGCATGGGTATTATGGGAAATGAGTGTGGGCATGGGTATTATGGAATTGAGTATGGGCAGGGTATTATGGAAGTGAGTGTAGGCATGGGTATTATGGAAGCGAGTGTGGGCATGGGTATTATGGAAGTGAGCGAGGGCATGGGTATTATGGAAGTGAGTGTGGGCATGGGTATTATGGAAGTGAGTGTGGGCATGGGTATTATGGAAGTGAGTGGAGGTATGGGTATTATGGAAGTGAGTTGGGGCATGGGTATTATGGAAGTGAGTTGGGGCATGGGTATTATGGAAGTGAGTTGGGGCATGGGTAATATGGAAGTGAGTGCGGGCATGGGTATTATGGAAGTGAGTGCGGGCATGGGTATTATGGAAGTGAGTGTGGGCATGGGTATTATGGAAGTGAGTGTGGGCATGGGTATTATGGAAGTGGGGTGTGGGCATGGGTATTATGGAAGTGAGTGTGGGCATGGGTTTTATGGGAAGTGAGTGTGGGCATGGGTTTTTATGGAAGTGAGTGTGGTTATGGGTATTATGGAAAATGAGTGTGGGCATGGGTATTATGGAAGTGAGTATGCACATAGGTATTATGGAAGTGGGTGTGGGCATGGGTACTATGGAAGTGAATGTGGCATGGGTATTATGGAAGTGAGTGTGGGGCATGGTATTATGGAAGTGAGTATGGGCATGGGTATTATGGGAAGTGGTGTGGGCATGGGTATTTTGGAAGTGTGTGGGGGCATGGTTATTATGGAAGTTATTGGGGGGATGGGTATTATGGGAGTGGGTTCATGGGTTTATGGAAGTTTTGCGTGGGCATGGGTATTATGGAGGTGTGTGGGGGCATGGGGTATTATGGAAGTGAGTGGGGCATGGGTATTATGGAAGTGAGTGTGGGTAAAGGGTATTATGGAAGCGAGTGTGGTCATGGGTATTATGGAAGCGAGTGTGGGCATGGATATTATGGAAGTGAGTAGGAGCATGGGTATTATGGAAGTGAGTGTGGGCATGGGTTTTTATGGAAGTGTTTTGGGGGCATGGGTATTAAAGGAAGTGAGTTGTAGGCATGGGTAATTTTGGAAGTGAGTGTGGGCATGGGTATTATGGAAGTGTGTGGGGGCATGGGTATTATGGAAGTGAGTGTAGGCATGGGTATTATGGAAGTGAGTGTGGGCATGGGTATTATGGAAGTGTGTGGGGGCATGGTATTATGGAAATGAGGGAGGGCATGGGTATTATGGAAGTGAGTGTGAGCATGGGTATTATGGAAGTGATTGGGGCATGGGTATTATGGAAGTGAGTGTGGGCATAGGTATTACGGAAGTGAGTGTGGGCATGGGTATTATGGAAGTGTGTGGGGGCATGAGTATTATGGAAGTGAGTGTAGGCATGGGTATTATGGAAGTGAGTGGAGGCATGGGTATTATGGGAAGTGAGAGGGGGCATGGGTATTATGGGAGTGAGGGCATGAGTATTATGGAAGTGAGTGTGGGCATGGGTATTATGGAAGTGTGTGGGGGCATGGGTATTATGGAAGTGAGTGTAGGCATTTGTATTATGGAAGTGAGTGTAGGCTGGGTATTATGGAAGTGGTGGGGGCATGGGTATTATGGAACTGAGTGTAGGCGTGGGTATTATGGAAGTGAGTGTAGGCATGGGTATTATGGCAATGAGTGGGGGCATGGGTATTATGGAAGTGAGTGTGAGTATGGGTATTATGGAAGTGAGTGGGGCATGAGTATTATGGAAGTGAGTGCGGGTATAGGTATTATGGAAGTGAGCGTGGGCATGGGTATTATGGAAGTGAGTGCGGGTATAGGTATTATGGAAGTGAGCGTGGGCATGGGTATTATGGAAGTGAGTGTGGGCATGGAATCTACCATAAACTCGCAGAATTTACCTTGAGGGATAAATCCGGATGTGAAGCACGCGACTCCACCTAGTAAACAGGAGAATGTAAGCATGCTCTTCCTGCCCAGCCTGTGGAAAAACAGTAACAACCAACACGACTCTCACACACTGTGTGGTGTAACAGTCAGTAACAACCAACACGACTCTCACACACTGTGTGGTGTAACAGTCAGTAACAACCAACACGACTCTCACACACTGTGTGGTGTAACAGTCAGTAACAACCAACACGACTCTCACACACTCTGTGGTGTAACAGTCAGTTACAACCTGGAGTTTACCTGGGGTGAACCTGGAGAGGGTTTTGGGGGTCAACGCCCCCGCGGGCTTGTCTGAGACCAGGCCTCATAGTGGATCAGGGTCTGATCAACCAGGCTGTTACTGCTGGCCGCACGCAAGCTGAAGTATGAACCACAGCCCGGTTGGCCAGGTACTGACTCTAGGTGCCTGTCCATTGCCTTCGTGAAGACAGCCAGGGGTTTATTGGTAATCCCCCTTATGTATGCAGGGAGGCAGTTGAACAGTCTTGGGCCTCGGACACTTATTATGTTGTCTCTCAGTGTACTCGTGGCACCCCTACTTTTCATCGGGGGAATGTTGCATCTCCTGCGGAGACTTTTGCTTCCAAGGGAGTGATTTTCGTGTGCAGGTTTGGTACCAATCCTTCTAGGATCTTTCAAGTGTATATATTATCATGTATCTCTCTCGCCTGCGTTCGAGGGAATTCAGATCAAGAACCTTCAACCACTCCCAGTAGTTTAGATGTCTTATTGCACTTATGTGTGCCGCAAAGGTTCTTTGTACACTCTCCAGGTCTGCAATGTCGCCAGCCTTGAAGGGGCCGTTAGTGTACAGCAGTATTCCAGCCTAGAGAGCTCAAGCGATTTGAAGAGAATCGTCATGGGCTTGGCGTCCCTAGTTTTGAAGGTTCTCATTATCCATCCTGTGATTTTCCTAGCAGATGAGGTAGATACATTGTTGTGTTCTTTGAAGGCGAGCTCCTCTGACATTATCACTCCCAGGTCCTTCACATTACTCTTCCGCTCTATTGTATGGTTAGAATTTTTGGTATACCCTGACACATTTTTAATTTCTTCAAGTTTTCCATATCTGAGTAGTTGAAATTTCTCCTCGTTGAACTTCATGTTGTTTTGAGTGGCCCATTCGAAGAGTTGGTTGATGTCCGCTTGGAGTCTCGCGGTGTCTTCGATGGCGGTCACTGCCATGGTAATCCGGGTGTCATCCGCAAAGGAAGACACGGAGCTATGGCTTACATCTCTGTGTCAGAAATGAGGATGAGGAATTGAATTGGGGAGAGTACTGTGCCTTGTGGTACAGAGCTTTTTGCCGTGGCCTCCTGGGACTTTACTCTGTTTACTATTACTCTTTGTGTTCTATTTGTCAGGAAATTGTAGATCCATCTACCAACTTTTTCCGTTATTGCTTTTTCTCGCATTTTGTGTGCTATTACACCATGGCCTCATTTGTCGAAAGCTTTTGCAAAGTCTGTGTATACTACATCTGTATTTTGTTTATCCTATGTAGCATCCAGGGCCTTGTCATAGTGGTCCAGTAGCTGGGACAGGCAGGAGCGACCTATTCTAAACCCGTGTTGCTCTGAGTTGTGTAACTGATGGGTATCTAGGTGGTTGGCTTTCTTGCTTCTTAGAACCTTCTTAAAGATTTTTATGATATGGGATGTTAGGGCTATCAGTCTGTAGTTCTTTGCAATCGCTTTACTGCCACCTTCGTGGAGTGGGGCTATGTCTGTTGCTTTTAGTGTGTGTGGGATGACCCCTGTGTCCATGATCCCTCTCCATAAAATGCTGAAGGCACGTGATAGGGCTTCTTGCAATTCTTGATGAACACAGAGTTCCACGAGTCTGGGCCTGGGGCAGAGTGCATGGGCATGTCGTTAATTGCCTCTTCAAAGTCTTGTGGAGTTAAAATAATATCCGAGATTTTTGGATGACCAAATTTTGGGTTTCGTTCATAAAGAATTCATTTGAATTTTCGACCCTGAGAGTGGGCAGTGGCTCTCTGAACACTGAGTTATATTGGAACTTAAGTATCTCACTCAATTTTTGACTATCATCTGTGTATGTCCCATTCCGCCTAAGCAGGGGCCTAATACTGGATGCTGTTTTTTCCTTCGATTTGGCATAAGAGAAGAAGTATTTTGGGTCTTCTTCAATTTCCTATGTGGTTTTTAGTTCTTCCTGTGATTCTTGTCTCCTATTAGATTCCTTCAGCTTAAGGTCGACATCATTCTCACACAGTGTGTGGTGTAACAGTCAGTAACAACCTACATGACTATCACACACTGTGTGGTGTAACAGTCAGTAGCAACCAACACGACTCTCACACACTGTGTGGTGTAAGAGTCACTAACATACATGACTCTCACACACTGTGTGGTGTGACAGTAACAATCTACACGACTCTCACATAGTGTGCGGTGAAACAGTCAGTAACAACATACATGACTCTCACACACTGTGTGGTGTAACAGTAACAACCTGCACGACTTTCACGCACTCTGTGGTATAACAGTACCAACCTACATGACTCTGACACACTATGTGGTGTAAGAGTCAGTAGCATACATGACTCTCACACACTGTGTGGTGTAACAGTAACAACCTACATGACTCTCACACAGTGTGGTGTAATAGTAACAACCTACATGACTCTCGCACACCCTGTGGTGTAACAGTAACAACCTACATGGCTCTCACACACTGTGTGGTGTAACAATAACAGCCTTCATATCTCTCACTCACTGTGTGGGGCAACAGTAACAACCTACATGACTCTCACATAGTGTGTTGTGTAACAGTAACAGCCTACATGACTCTCACACAGTGTGTGGTGTAACAGTAACAACCTACATGACTCTCACACAGTGTGTGGTGTAACAGTAACAACCTACATGACTCTCACACACTGTGTGGTGTAACAGTAACAACCTACATGACTCTCACACACTGTGGGGGGTAACAGTAACAACCTACATGACTCACACATTGTGAGGTGTAACAGTAACAACCTACATGACTCTCACAAACTGTGTGGCGTAACAGTCAGAACCTACATGACTCTCACACACTGTGTGGTGTAATAGTAACAACTACATGACTCTCATACACTGTGTGGTATAACAGTAAGTTACATCCTACATGACTCTCACACACTGTGTGGAGTAACAGTCAGTAGCAACCAACACGACTCTCACACACTGTGTGATGTAGCAGTCACTAACAACCAATATGACTCACACACTGTGTGATGCAACAGTCAGTAACAGCCCACATGGTTCTCACACACTGTGTAGTGTAACAGTCAGTAACCTATATGATTCTCACACACTGTGTGGTATAACAGTAACAACCTACTTGACTGTCACACACTGTGTGGTATAACACTAACAGCATACATGACTCTCACACACTTTGTGGTGTAACAGTAACAACATACACGACTCTCACACACTGTGTGGTATAACAGTAACGACATACTTGACTCTCACACACTGTGTGGTGTAATAGTAACAGCATACACGACTCTCACACACTGTGTGGTACAGCAGTAAAGACGTGCATGATTCTCACACACTGTGTAGTGTAACAGTAACAACATACACGACTGTCACACACTGTGTTGTATAACAGTAACAATCTACATGACTCTCACACACCGTGTGGTGTAACAGTAACAGCAAACATGACTATCACACACAGTGTGTGGTATAACAGTAACAACATACACGACCCTCACACAGTGTGTGGTGTAACAGTCAGTAACAACATACATGACTCTCACACACTGTGTGGTGTAACAGTAACAATCTACACGACTCTCACACACTCTGTGGTGTAAAAGTACCAACCTACATGACTCTCACACACTGTGTGGTGTAAGAGTCAGTAACATACATGACTCTCACACACTGTGTGGTGTAACAGCAACAACCTACATGAATCTCGCACAGCGTGTGGGGTAACAGTAACAACCTACATGACTCTCACACACTGTGTGGTGTAGCAGTAACAACGTACATGACTCTCACACAGTGTGTGGTGTAACAATAGCAACCTACATGACTCTCACATAGTGTGTGGTGTAACAGTAACAACCTACATGACTCTCACACTGTGTGGTGTAACAGTAACAACCTACATGACTCTCACACAGTGTGTGGTGTAACAGTACATCCTACATGACTCTCACACTCTGTGTGGGGTAACAGAAACAACCTACATGACTCTCACACACAGTGTGGTGTAACAGTACCAACCTACATGACTCTCACACAGTGTGTGGTGTAACAGTAACAACCTACATGACTCTCACACACTGTGTGGTGTAGCAGTAACAACCTACATGACTCTCACACACTGGGGTAACAGTAACAACCTACATGACTCTCACACACTGTGTGGGTTAACAGTAACAACCTACATGACTCTCACACACTGTGTGGTATGACAGTAACAACCTACATGACTCTCACACACTGTGTGGTGTAACAGTAACAGCCTACATGACTCTCACACAATGTGCGATGTAACAGTAACAACCTACATGACTCACACACTGTGTGGTGTAACAGTAACAACCTATATGACTCTCACACACTGTGTGGTGTAACAGTAACAGCCTACATGACTCTCACACACTGTGTGGTGTAACAGTAACAGCCTACATGACTCTCACACAATTTTGCGATGTAACAGTAACAACCTACATGACTCACACACTGTGTGGTGTAACAGTAACAACCTATATTTACTCTCACACACTGTGTGGTGTAACAGTAACAGCCTACATGACTCTCACACACTGTGTGGTGTAACAGTAACAGCCTACATGACTCTCACACAATGTGCGATGTAACAGTAACAACCTACATGACTCACACACTGTGTGGTGTAACAGTAACAACCTATATGACTCTCACACACTGTGTGGTGTAACAGTAACAGCCTACATGGCTCTCACACACTGGTGTAACAGTAACAATCTACATGACTCTCACACACTGTGTGGTGTAACAGTAACAACCCATATGGCTCTCACACAGTGTGTGGTGTAACAGTAACAGCCTACATGACTCTCACACACTGTGTGGTGTAACAGTATCAACCTACATGACTCTCACACTGCGTGGTGTAACAGTAACAACCTACATGACTCTCACACACTGTGTGGTGTAACAGTAACAACCTACATGACCCACACACTGTGTGGTGTAACAGTAACAACCTACATGACTCACACACTGTGTGGTGTAACAGTAACAACCTACATGACTCTCACACACTGTGTGGTGTAACAGTAACAACCTACATGACTCTCACACACTGTGTGGTGTAACAGTATCTACCTACATGACTCTCACACACTGTGTGGTGTAACAATAACAACTTACACGACTCTCCCACAGTGTGGTGTAACAGTAACAACCTACACGACTCTCACACACTGTGTGGTGTAACAGTAACAACCTACACGACTCTCACACTGTGTGGTGTAACAGTAACAGCCTACATGACTCTCACACACTGTGTGGTGTAACAGTAACACCCTACATGACTCTCACACACTGTGTGGTGTAACAGTAACAACCTACATGACTCTCACACACTGTGTGGTGTAACAGTAACAACCTACATGACTCTCACACACTGTATGGAGTAACAGTAACAACCTACTTGACTCACACACACTGTGTGGTATAACAGTAACAACCTACATGACTCTCACACACTGTGTGGTGTAACAGTAACAACCTACATGACTCTCACACTGTGTGGTATAACAGTAACAACCTACATGACTCTCACACACTGTGTGGTGTAACAGTAACAACCTACATGACTCTCACACACTGTGTGGTGTAACAGTAACAACCTACTTGACTCACACACACTGTGTGGTGTAACAGTAACAACCTACATAACTCTCACACACTGTATGGAGTAACAGTAACAACCTACTTGACTCACACACACTGTGTGGTGTAACAGTAACAACCTACATAACTCTCACACACTGTGTGGTGTAACAGTAACAACCTACACAACTCTCACACACTGTGTGGTATAACAGTAACAACCTACATGACTCTCACACACTGTGTGGTGTAACAGTAACAGCCTACATGACTCTCACGCACTGTGTGGTGTAACAGCAACAACCTACATGACTCTCACACACTGTGTGGTGTAACAGTAACAACCTACACAACTCTCACACACTGTGTGGTGTAACAGTAACAACCTACACAACTCTCACACACTGTGTGGTGTAACAGTAACAACCTACACAACTCTCACACACTGTGTGGTGTAACAGTAACAACCTACACAACTCTCACACACTGTGTGGTGTAACAGTAACAACCTACATGACTCTCACACACTGTGTGGTGTAACAGTAACAACCTACACGACTCTCACACTCTGTGTGGTGTAACAGTAACAACCTTCACGACTCTCACACACTTTGTTGTGTAACAGTAACAACCTACATGACTCTCACACACTGTGTGGTGTAACAGTAACAACCTACATGACTCACACACACTGTGTGGTGTAACAGTAACAACCTACATGACTCTCACACACTGTGTGGTGTAACAGTAACAACCTACACAACTCTCACACACTGTGTGGTGTAACAGTAACAACCTACACAACTCTCACACACTGTGTGGTGTAACAGTAACAACCTACACAACTCTCACACACTGTGTGGTGTAACAGTAACAACCTACATGATTCTCCCAGAGTCACGGGTCCAAAACATTTGGACAACAAATTGTTTTCTTCCTCTGCTTCAGGTCACACACATGTTTAAGATCTTCAGATTCTAAATATTTAACGAATTTTTATAAAACTATAACAATAACCTCAATAATAATAATAATAATAATAATAATAATAATAATAATAATAATAATAATAATAATAATAATATTAATAATAATTAATAATAATAGTAATAATAATATTATTATTATTTATTATTATTATTATTATTATTATTATTATTATTAATATTATTATTATTAATTTTCGTCTAAATAAAACGTGTTTTCTTAGATCTTGCTGAACTGAATGTCCATTTTTATTACGTAAGGAATAAATTAAGGATATGAAAACATTAAAAAAAAATGTATCTGAACTTTGAAGAGTTATTTCTTCCCTCATAATATTTTCAGTATTAATAGTTTATATTTTTGAGATTTAGTAAACGCTTTTTCGTCTCGTAACTCGCATGTTATCCTTCCCACCCTCAACCATGAATGAAGATCTTACCTGTCCAGAACGAGAAAGTTGAGAATGCACGATGGAATCTCGACCAGCATTGTGGAGATGAAATCTACGAAGATATTGCCACCCAAAGTGCTGGAGTTGGAGGATAGTCCATAGTACACCAGAGCGCAAACACACCTGTCAAACAGATCATTATTGTCATGTTCACACAGAGCCTAGATCATGGAGGAGGTGGGGTAGTAAACACGTTAAGTCTACGACAGTCACAGCTGTATATGATAATTAAGACACATGTGCAACAGTAAGGTACCTTTATTCTGAAACTCTGCACATTTGCGTCACTTATCAACATCTCGGTATTGTATTCTTTGAAAAGCGCAATTTAATTTAGCCTAATCCAACTATATATATTTTAGATATGTTAACAATAATTTAAAAATAAACAAACACAATGAAATACATTTTTTTCGTTAGATTCAGAATGAGTATTGGGAAATTATTGCACACTCAAATTTTCGATTGCATTGTTCGGCAAGAACAACGCTGCTTTTTACGCCAAAATAGCAAATTTTACCTATTCGGCACGACATATATATATATATATATATATATATATATATATATATATATATATATATATATATATATATTATATATATATATATATATATATATATATTATATATACGATTAGTATAATATAAGTTTAAATCCGTCCTTTCACTTTACCCTTTGCTTTTACACAATTTCTGCAATTATCATTACCCAGTGTTACTCAATGACTGTTATTATTAAGATTCATAATATCAAAGCCTATGTCAATATTTCCACACTCTTTATTTTCCATTCCTAAACCCATACCTCTAGCTAAACCTACTTTAAAGTCCTAACAACTCCTTCAAATAAGCTAGCAATAAAACATACACCTACCCTGGATTAGTGAGCCCCATCTCTGGCATACATGTCATTTCTACCAGTATCATTAGGTCGATATCCCTTAAACTACAGACCAGTGTCAATGAATTGTTTATTATGCAGATTCATGGAGAAGATTATCAGGAGAAGAGTGGTGGAATACGTAGAAATGAATGAGCTTATCAACAACAATCAGCATGGTTTCAGGGACTGGAAATCAGGTGTCACAAACCTACTGGAGTTCTATGGCAGGGTGAAAGCAGTAAGACAAGAGAGAGAGAGAGGTGGGTAGATTGCTTTTCTTGGACTCTAAGAAGGCGTTTGACAGAGTTCCACACATAAGATTAGTGTGAAAGCTGGATAATCAGGCAGGGATAACAGGGAAGGCCCTGCAATGGATCAGGGAATACCTCTCGGGAAGACAACAGTTAGTCATGGTACGTGGCGAGGTGTCAGAGACGAGCGGGGTTCCACAAGGGTCAGTCCTAGGACCGGTGCTCTTTCTGGTATTTGTGAATGACTTGATTGAAGGAATAGACTCAGAAGTGTCCCCGTTTGCAGATGATGTGAAGTTGATGAAAAGAATTCATTTGGACGAGAACCAGGCAGAACTACAAAGGGACCTGGACAAGCTGCATGCCTGGTCCAGAAACTGGCTCCTAGATTTCAACCCCACCAATTGCAAAGGCATGAAGATTGAGGAAGGGCAAAGAAGACCGCAGATGGAGTACAGTCCAGCAGGCAAGAAACTACAAACCTCACTCAAGGACACACATCAGCCAAATTGCAGCTGCAGCATGCGGGCTTCTAGCAAACTTAAAAATGACATTCAGACAACTGAATAAAAAATCGTTCAGGACCCTGTACGCCTATATTGGAGTATGCAGCACCATTCTGGAACCCACACCTAGCCAAACACACAAGGAAATTAGAGAAAGTGCAAAGGTTTGTAATAAGACTAGTCCCGGAGCTAAGGAGCCTGTCCTATGAGGAGAGGTTAATGCTTCGTGTCTGTCTCCTTTTCTAAAAATTCGGACTACATCTGCTGTCTTCCTTATCTCAGGTAATCACCCTGTTTCGGTAGATGTGTTGAAGATGAAGATAATTGTTAGTGGTACACAATGCACCTCTGCTCCCTCTCTCAGGACTCATGGAGAGATATTATCCGGCCCCATCGCCTTTGAGGTATTTAGCCCGCATAGCAACACTTGATGGTGTGCCCCACTTCTCCACCTTTCTGGAGGCCCTTCTGTCTCCTCTGTGAACACATTTTTGAATCTCATGTCGAGCTCCTCACATTGCGGTCATTTTTTGTGACCTCCCCTCCTTCCTTCCTCAGCCTGATTACCTGGTCCTTGACTGTTGCTTTCCTCCTGATGTGGCTCTACAACAGCTTTGGGTCAGATTTGGCTTTCACTGCTATGTCATTCTCATATTGTCTTTGGGCCTCCATTCTTACCAGTGCATATTTATTTCTGGCTCTACGACTGCTCTCCTTATTCTCCTGGGTCCTTTGCCTTCTATACTTCTTCCATTCCCTAGCATACTTGGTTTTGGCCTCCCTGCACCTTAGGGTGAACCAAGGGCTCATCTT